AACCATTATAGAAAATTTGCTAAAAATATTGACGTTTTGTCGCTCGCTTGTGATGAATATCTTTTGTTTACGCTTAGTTGTGCACCAATATGGCGGTTAGCAACCGTTGTCATGCACCGAGTCACGTGGGTGAAAACCGACAATAGATGATTAAAATCTATGTGTTAGCATGAACAAAAATGTGTTGAAACTGATTTCTGGTTTAGAAACTCTAGTTATTTTGCTTTAAAGTGCCTATAACCTTTATCATGATCAATTTTGATTTTCTGTGTGTTGGAGATGAATAAACAAAAAAAAAATTTTTTTTTTTCGATTGACTAAATATTCTCGGAGATATAACGTCGTAAAGTACGCAGTTTTGCCACGCCCTATCGATTTGGACGGGATTGCGAGGTCTGGTACCTAGTTTGCGTCGAATGACGTCACAACAAGAACGACTTGGCTTCCAATAAGTAAAATAGAAATGTTTTATTAGCCAAACTAGCATGGCAATGGATGAACTGCCATTCGTTGTTGATTAATTTTTTTAAACACTAGCAAACGTCAGCGAAAATTCTATTTTTTTCGGTTCGAAAACCTAAGAGAGGGACTTTGAAAGCTACTTCAATAAATAGGCAATACGCAAGTATGGTTCTCAACACGCAATACATCTGTTGTGTGTGACGTATATATGTTGATTGTTGTGTACTTGTGTTCACCGTTGGCAAACGTTTTGTATAGGTTATTGGTAGATCGATCTCAGATCAATTTCATTCAGACTGATCCAACTGCTACTCAGGGGAGAAAGCCTTGCGTGACGACACTGAAACCGGCAGTGGGGAGAGTACGTGTGAACGGGCTCACAGATACTAAGCTGAGTATCAGGCTCTCCCCAGGCCCCTAACCTCTCCCCAGGCACCCTGTAGGCCTCTCCCTGTAGGCCTGATACTCAGGTTACACAGATACAGAACATTTGAGCACAATAAAGAGCGAAGAGCACTAAGGTGACAATGTTCATTGCTTATTAAATCTCACAAGAACTATGCTTTTCCCAATGAGACATCTTTCTAACTGAACTTAAGAGTTTACTCAGCTTATAGTGTTTGAGAGAACCGCTTTTCTGTTACGTTATTCTGGCATATAATATACAGGATATAGCAAGACCATATCATAATACGCTATCATATTCAACAAGTCATAAGTATGGTCTATGTTCTTTATAATAAATAGCCTGGGGCTAATATCATATACTGACATATTTAGTGGAATCCCCTATCTCTATTGGTTATCATCCTGTCACATTTTACTTGTCACGCAGTGCATGAATGATATGCAAATCTGATCATTTAAACAAGGAAATATAAGTTGTTGTCTGCGATGGTTGAATAACAAGCTCAAAATGATAGTTTTTTGGCCGTGCTAAGTTTCCTAACCGAACACCATGGAATCAAACGAGATGATCTAGTCGGCTAACTACTTGACAGCCTTTCAATCCACCTGAGTCCTCGCGATCCGTCTTGTATGTCTTCGATTGAGGATGCAAACTTGTGCGACCACCTTTTTGAGGCAAGGCATTGTATCCAAACAAACCGTCTGAAGGTACTATTTTGATCGTTTAATTATTCCCTGGCTTTACTCGGTTAATG